TTCATGGCTGCAGCTGGTCCAGGGAACACACTGCCCAGGTCCTGCAGCCTTCCCACATCCCCACATCCCTAACTTAAAGGCATCTGCTTGACTCCAGCTAACTTATTTTGTTGTGTTAGATTGAAACTACAGTCCAAAACTGCTGAGAGAAAAACGGGGAGAGCAATTTATCACTAGACAGCAGTACATCTCTGGGGCTCTGCATTTGTTATACAGGTTCACTGAAATGTCTGATTCTGGATCCAGATCCTCAGTGCCTTCTGCTTCCCATAATGAAAGTCACTATGCTAATTCTCCTCCTGCTGCCTGGCAGAATTAGAAATGGATTCCCATAGCTTCTTTGCAACTGGTACCTCCAGACAAATACAGCTGGGGGCAAGGAGAGAGAAAGTGGATGTATATATATTTGGGGAATTGAGTCAGAGGTGAGGAAAGTCTCAATTTACACGTGCAAATTCAGAGCTGATGTTATCCTCGTGGTTATTTTTGTCCATTTTCTAGCCAGAAAACTGCTGTTAGAAAAACAAAAATCCAAATGTTACACAATCTTCCAATGATTAACCTAATGTCATAGATGACTTTTGTAGTTTTGAAGATTTTAATTTTTTGCTCTCAAAATGCTGTTAATTACATTCTATTGAATGTATATATTGTATACAAAATAATTGATTTTTAACCCTGCCTCTGAGCAGTCTGGACTAATTTAAAACTTTGCAGGATAGATTCTCAACATAAAATTCTTCTGTTTTCCCCTGCTTTAGCATCATAAAGCAAAACAAAAGCGAGTTTAACTATGCAGATGAGGTCTTTGAAGTGTCAAGTATCTTTTATGTGCCATTCAGGGTTGGTTTTTCAGAGAAAAAAGATGAGCAAGTTAGGATGCACGTTGACTTTGGCAACCTCACCTGCCAGCAAGATAACTTTTCACAGAGAAGAATTTTTCCAAATGACAAATAACACATTCTTGACTACCTCAAATGGATCTAAATGACCAGAGCACCCCTAAAATTATTAGAATGCCTGTCATGAATCTTGCAGCAAGCATACACAGATATTCCTGCACACGCAGAGACTATAGGTGTATTCCATAGAGGCAATGCAATAAAGATAACAAAATTTGCTGGGCAAAACATACCAAACTCAGCACACAGAGCTGAAACCAGGGCTTCTTCCTCTAGGAAAAGCCTACAAAAGCCTGATTTCTACACTCTTAAGTTTACTGTCTCACCTAGGACAGAATGAAATCTCGAGAATTAGTTCCTCTGATAAACAGCTCACCTCTCCATCAGTCTGACACAAAGTGCAACCTCTGCTCTAAAAAGCCAAAATGCTCTGTGATGGAGAGAGGGAGGAAGAGATGCATCACCCAAGTAGAGATGGCTGGTGACAATTTTCCGAGACCCAGAGAAGGTGTTATGTCTTCACAGGGTGCTGAACAGCATTTCCTTCAACAACCATGCAGAGGCCCCCACCGTATTTTTGTCTCAGCCAGGGAAACCCTGCGTGTGCATAGCCATGTATTTTCCTTTTGCAGGCACGCCCATGAGGAGCACTGCTGACACTGCAAGGGGACTCCTTCCCCTCTGTGCCCTAGCAGACACAATTTAGGTGTCCTTTCACAGTAGTGCAGGTCTCTGGAGCTCTCTGAATCAGCTCTCAGCACCCCAGGGAGCAAGGCCCTGTTATGACCAGAAGCACAAGTGAGCTGCATGAGCTGGGCTTTGAAACTGCATCAAAGCACACAGCTGGCAGCACCAAAGACTTCAGCAGATACAGCATCATCAGACCAGACCTGGAGCAGTTCTCCCTCTCTTTCACCCAGAACATCCCACATCACAGTGCCTGGCCCTAGGGTCCCTCAACCCCCTTACCTGAAGCTGTAGGGGTTTTTTACAGCAGTTTCAACCATGAAGCCAGGAAGACCTATATGCTTTGTTTTATCTAGGAATATGTTTTCTACCTAAACAATTTGGGTAATTAGAGAGCTTTATTTTTCCCCAGTCAAGTATTAAATTTCTTCCTCGTTTCTGAACTTCATTTCCACCTACTGCATTCAATACATTTCCAGGTCAGCTCACACATACCTCTGACAATTTCTATTCTACTTGTTTAGGAAAATCAGCAAGTAGCATTCAGCCAGCTTGCTCATGCTGCTTTACAGCTTGCTGTGGTCATTCATTCTCAGCTGAACTGTGTGATCAAGATAATCAGAAGGCAAATGCTCTCTTTTAAAGTTCAGAGTCACTCAAAAAATCCGCTGGATCTGCTAGACTCTTTTTCAAAACAAGTATTCTGCAGAAGAGCTCTACCAGCAGCACTCTGTCCTCCTTTATTCCCATGTCCAGGGAGGCAAACAGCCCTCTAGGTCCACGGGGTTTTTTTTTTAAATTAATATTGCAACAAAAAAATCTCATCTATACAACAAAAATTTCTTTCAAATATCTCCTCCTGTTGTTAAATATGTAACTAGTCACTCACCCATCCAATCCCACATCCCCACTATTCTAGTTGATGAGGGGTGTGACATCCAGGCTTCTCTGCTCTTCCATGAAGAAGGTGGTAGAAACTCCTGTGTCCCTCTTGCTACCTTTGTTCTTCCCATTAAAAGCAAGACAAGTAGGTGACCTTCTTACAACTTTCCCACTGCCCCACACACAAACAAAAATAATTTTACTTTTCAACCATGTTTTTGTATAGTATAGAAAAACAATATCAGGTGTGGATGACCCAAGCACATCAACCGTCAGGTTTCATTACACTGAAATGCCATATCAGCTTGTTAGTTGGGATTACATTGTTTTTTCTCACAAAACTAAAAAGTTTGCTAGCAGTTGTCCATGTAGACATGCTAGAATTTTTTTTTCTTTCAGCAAACAGGCAACTATTTCTCTCCTTGGAAAGTTTCTAATTAAAAGTTAGGTTTCTCTCTCTTTTCCTTTAGAAAGTACCATAAATTATAAATAATTGACTAGTTATTCATTGTCTCTAATGCACAAACTGAAATATACTTTCTCCAGTTTTATCAACTTTGCTGTCAGAGAAACTTTTTATATTTGGGTTGGGAGGAGACAGGCTGCTCAAGAAATCTAATGAAACCCCAAGACTGAAAATGCTGTGTCCCTTAGCTACAACAAGTACATTCTGAAGGCAGCTGCAATACAATCAAAGTAACCACACAGTATGGGCTCCCTCAAATGATGTTCCCAGTGACATGGTGGGGTTTTTTTGAGCACAAGGCAACACAGTGCTCATGCTAGCTCTGTCCTGGGCCTCTGCAAAGCAGATGCTGTCAATCATTTCAGACTGTGTTGAATTGAATGTAACATCTGCAATATGGTGTTTACAGTTTTGCAGTGAAGGTAAAGCTGAGACAGCCAGAGCATTTTACTGAGTAGAAAGTTAGGCTCTCCTTGAACTATGCTGGGGATTTGAAAGAGCTGGCAATCTACACTTTTGTCATTACCATTTGGTTTTGTACCATACTAAGCATCCTATCAGCAAAGAATTAAAGGCTTCAGGCCCTTATTTAAAAAAAATAAAGAAAAAATATAAAATAAATATAAATAAAGAAAAAAATAAATAAAGAAAAAATATAAAAACCACAATATCATCAGGGTTTGGATTCTGAAACTACTGCCACATAAAAAAATCTTACCACCACGTGCTGAAATGAAGCAGTTGATTACAGAAATCTCTCTCCCAGCTCCACGCCATCATTGGGTCAGCAAGACTCAGTAGGTATTAAAAACTGAGGTACAGCCTTTTACTCTGGATTCAAACCAAGAAGAAGCAGTGGATGTAAGTATGTGACACAAATGACCAGTCAGTAGGTGTTCAGTGAGGAAAAGCATTCCTGACTGCAGATGGCTCATCTTACACCTCCTCACCGTGCAACACTGAACTGGCAGTTCCAGGAGAACATTCTTGGTCAGGAGATTTCCGCACCTCTGCATCTGGCAGGGATCAGAATAACAAGCAGTACAGGCAGAGGAGCCTTGGGAGTCATACCCCCTCCGGTGCTTCAGCCTCAGGACTCCTCTCATCCACCCATTCTCTCACTGTGTGCTTACAAACATTTTTCCTGACGCTGCACAGAAGGGATGCTCCATACAGCCCTGTCTGCCTCTTCTGGACTCACATTTGAAGCATGCACCTTCCCTCTTATCCTCCATTACAACTCAATGGTGAGAGGTGGAGTTGCACTCTCCTCCCTGGTAACAGCACCCCAAAGTTCCTTGCCCACACACCATCCTTCAGTGCTCTTCATATCACACTTGTGAATATTTCTCTATGCACCATTACAGGGCATCCACAAACTCCTTTTAACCAAAGTCAAGGACTAGAAACCCATCATCTGGCGTGAAGGAGATTCCTTTCCCCTCTGTTTTATATCCCCCATTCTCTTCTTTGTTGTGCTGCCCTTACCCTGCCTGTCTAGATTTCTTCCCCCCCACAACCTCCATACCAGGCCTCCCCTGTTACCCCTCTTTTCCATGAAGAGTTGCTCCAAAAATTTCTGACATGTGACAAAATAGCGACTTTACCAGGCTGGGGCAGACTTACACTCAACACATTTTATATGCTGCTTGAAAATATGTTAAAAATTACTTGTAGTGTAGTTACAACTATAGTAGTTGCACATTGTCAGTTCTCAGATCCCCATCAGAGATGGGACTTAAAGCCTTGATTTGGCAAGCATCGCTACTTTCACTTAACAGATGGCAAAACTTAAGCTACAGCTTGCCTGAATTTGAGTGTTTTTTAAAGAAATAGGGGGGAAAAAAAGACAAAACAAATTTATTTTTTTTAAATTCACATGTTTTATACCTTCCCTTCTTATAAGTACCCATTTGTCTCTAGGTAAGATGTGGTTTCTGTCATAGCAGCAGACATACTACTACCAGAAAAACCTGAGAAAAAGTTGCAGCTCCCACCGGATGCACTCCTTCCAAGTCAGCACCCAGACACCAGATGCTTCCTGATTTCAGACCATTTCCTTGCCTTGCTTTAGGTTAAAGTCAGCTTAGCAGGCTAAAATTGTTCAACGTAACGTTATCAGCTATTGAGGGTAGCAAAGCCCTCTTGCACCATCCTCGCTAGGTGACCCTGAAAGGAAAAAGCCTTGATTAAACACTGCAAGCAATGTTTTTAGCACTGCCCTTTTCCTAAATCGATTTTTTCCTATTGTTTTTAATGGAAGTAACAGCCCCCTAACACACCAACCTTTGAGTTGACTCGATCTTGAATTCACTTTAAAGATTTTTGCTTCTGCACTGTCTGTCCTGTTCCTACCCACCCCCACCTTCTCCTCTTCATGACAAGGATTTTTAGGGGGGCAGTTTTTCTGACAATGCATCAGTTCCCAACTATGGGAAGCTGGAACAACTTCTGATACTTCTCTCTAAGAGCTGCTGTTTGTACACTTTGCTGTTCTATTCAGCCCATTGACTTACCTCCCTTATCTTCAATCTATAATTAGAAGAGATTAAAGAAGCTGACTTATTGCAAAAGGAAATAAACAAAAGGGATCAGGGATGAGTTGAAAGGTGTGTGGGGGGGTGGAGGGTAAGGTATAAAATCAGTACAGTCTCCCTCTTGAGAAGGTCATCCCAAGGAAGGGCAAGAACAAAATCAATGAATTTTGGCTCAGCAGTGATGGGAGTCAATCCATCAGGCAAACTGATGGCAGCCAGTCAGGCTCTCACAGACACCACCTGTCGCTGCCAGCAAAATGTCAAATTTATGAATTCATTTCCATAGCAAGATAACACTCCCCCAGGGCAACACTGAACAGTTTCACAGCTTCTAGAGCAACCTACTGAGCAGGGAGAAAAGAGGCAGCTCTTCTTCCCCACCAACTGAGGCAAACTATATTTTAAAGGGATGTATGGACCAAATCCAGAGGCACACTTTTTTTAGCATTTGGTTTCTTTAAGCTGAGATCCCTAAATCAAGATGCACTTAAGGCATACCCCAATTTCCCATTTTTTTGCCATTAACAGAGCCAAATGTTACACCGATTTGGTTTCTTTAAGCTGAGATCCCTAAATCAAGATGCACTTAAGGCATACCCCATTTTTGTGTCATTAACAAGAGCCAAATGTTACACCCCTATGTCTCTCACACCAGAGTTTAACTTCCCTAGCTGCATCAAATCCTTCAGAGATGAAGGTGACAGCGTTGACCTTGACTAGGTACACCCAAGTGAAAATTTATCCCATATTTGCTATAATTGTAGCTCCTTGTTAAGAAGAATCTTGTCATGGTAGGGCTGATTCCCTTCAGTTAGCTCAGAGAGCACGCTTGCAGTGGTTGTCATTCATCACTGCAGATAGCAGTGACAGAAACTTCTATGAAGTTCTGTGCTCACCCACACCGAGACAAGCACTTATCTTTCCAGCAAAACAAGTGGAAGAACCCTGTATTCTTTTCTTCCTTTCTATCTTTCATCTATCTTCACAGTATTATCTGGGTGATGTTCACTATAAGACAGTGTCACCAGAATCTCTAGAAGTGACAAACTTTTAGCACAGAAATAGTTTCAGGAACCTTACTTTAAATGTCTTCAATTGGAACTGCAACAGACTGAACTGAGATATAGGAGAGCAGATATTCCAAGTTGCAACCTGAACTTTAGTTTTGTCCTATTAGGCATACATTAGATCATCAGAAACAGTTTTTAAGTTTAGAAAGATGTCAAGCTGGGGAAGGAGATCATAATCCTTGATGAAAACCTTAGGGGACACAATTTTAAATGAATGTGAAAGTTTTAATTCAGTAGAGTGCCTGGCCCAAATTCTCCAAAGTTTTCACAATTCTTTACTTTTTTAAAGATATAATTACACCATTTAGGTTCTTCCAACACACTCAGAAATCATAATTTGCCAGCTGTCTAACACCCCAGGTTGTCTAGTTTCAGCAGCCCCCAAATTCATAGGCATGAGTTAGTGAAAAAATGACAAAGAGCTGTCACAGTGATGCCAGCCAACTCCCAAGTAAAGAAGGTTATTGCCAGTGGAGGAGGATTTCAGTGAAGATACTTAGCACCAAATTTTTCAAAACAGGCACACACATTCTTCCTCTGTAGGATGTTCAAATCCAGACATGAACTGATAAGAGGGCAACACCCTACATTTAGCTTTGTCAGAACTGATTTGATGGTGTTGCACTCTGCTAGCAGTAGATGTGAGCATCAGGCTGACTGAAATCTTTAGTCCCAAAGTTCTTCAAGCAGGACTGGCAGACTAGGGAGTTGAGCTCACCTGGTTAAGAGCTCTGGGGTCACACAGAAATCAGAGGCCACCCAGGGCACAGAGCCCTGATCGAGTGGTGTGCTCACACCCAGTGCTGTAACAACTCTGAAACACAGGAGCACATAGTGGGGACACATGATCAGAGGTGCATGGTTCATAATGCTGAGCCTTCAGAAAATGTTTTACACGTGCTGGAGTTAGACAGCTATAACAAAATTTTCATTTAATGGCAAGTTCTGTGTTACCTCACTCAACATCCTTATTTCAGAAATGTGTACAAAAAAATACAGAGAGATCACTGTTTTGCAAGCATTTTAATTTTTTGATAAAATGCCTATGATGGCAAAAGTTGCTAACTCTCTTCACAGAAGGAGACATGCAAACAAATTGTCATACTATCAGTAGTGTGAGACAGTGTTTAACAAGGTTCTTCTATCTTTAAACTGATATTGTTAATCTATTTATAATATATGCCTTTCATAGGGTTTTTTTTTTGTAGTTTCAGGCTCTTTTAAATCTTCTTTAAAATTAATATATATTAATTTTGAATTCAAATTCACTGTATGTATTAACCTCGTAGAAGGAATAATTGTAAGGTACTTTGTCTTAATTATGGTACCATGATACAGAGCAGTTAAATATCCATATAATTTTACATTGTTGCCCTGAAGGCCCTTCCTTGAAGTCAACCTTTTCTTTTCTTTTCCTATTTTTTAAGCAAGACTTAATTTGTAAGTGTTAAGAAAGTAGAGAAAATTACTTCACCCTAGTTCCTTTGTATTTTTCTCCTACTTTTATTCTCACTTTTGAAGACTAATATAAATGAGTATAGAAAAGTGTCTCTCTAGTTAATTATGCTTTAGGGAACTTTATTCTCTCCTCCCTCCCCCAAATTCTATTTTAAGGCCCCTTCTCATGCTCTTGTTCATTAAGAAACATTAGGAAACAGCCAACTGTATCATATAGCAGCTGATTCTTCCTTTCATGCATGTCCCCAGCTCACCCTCTTTGCATTGTATAACTCAAAGACAATTCAACTTGAAATAGGTTCCTTTGAAAACAAAACTGATGAGCACCTTTTTTTTTAATTTTGCTTTTCCTTGATTGCTATGTAAAATTATCTTGATACCCACTGTCTTTACCTTCCTGAATAGAAAAAGCAAAAAAACAGCCCACATTTCCAGTGTCAGTTATCCTTGTAAGGCTCCAATTTTCAAATGGATCCTTATGATCACAAATTTTTATACACTGATTCAGGAGGGAGTCCATAGTCAAATACCATCATCAGTCCCAAGCATTTAATAAAACTGAATTCGCATCCCTTTCTTCTTCTAGCACCTTCAAAGTCCTTGTGTGGTTGCACATTTCCATCTTTGACAGTAATACAGCTTTGTACTGGAAAAGGTCCTTATCTTAGCAGAAAGTACTCCTGCCACACTGGGCAGGAACTCACAAAGTCAAAAGCAAAGAAGACCCAAAAGTATTGAAAGTCAAATATGTGATTCTGTAACACAACGTCTTAGAAGGTCTAATGTCTTTCTGTCACACCATCACTGAAGAGCAGAGCTAAAGACAAGGAGGCAGTTGCTTCTGGGCATTGCTTCCTCATGTTGAAATACTTTGAGCCAGAAATCTCATCAGCCAACAGCATCAGGGGCAGTGGTAAAATCACAAATTTTCCAGCAGCACAAAGGTACAAAACAGTGCTGATGACAGAACTAATGGATGAGTATGGCATGACATAGGTGCAGAAGTAGACCATGAGAACACCTTTAGTCAGTAGTGTAGCCAGATGCAGTAAATTAAAATGGCAGAATAGTTTGAGTTGGAAGAAACCTTAAAGTTCATCAAGTTCCAACACCCCTGCCATGTGCAGGAACAGCTTCTGCTAAGTCAGATTGCTCAGAGCTGCATCCAGCCTGGTCTTGGCATCCACAGCTTCCCTGGGCAACCTGATCCAGTACCTCACCACCCTCGCAGTAAATAATTTCTTCCTAAAATCCTACTGGACTCTACTCGCAGTTTAAAGCCATTTAAACTGCGAGGAGCCATTTGCCTCCTTTTCTGTCAAAAAAAAAAAAATCATCTTAGCTCTGTCTGCTGGTATAGTTGGGAGAAACATCTTTGTCTAAGTTTAAATAAAATAATTTGCTTTCTAAAGGTTTGTGGATTTCATTATATTTTTCTTCTCATTTGCAAAATACATTCAAATGCTCAAGGCTTAGACAGTTTTTTTTCACTTTTCTCCTTTGTATTTTACCTTTAAAATAAAGGGTCAGATATATAAGAATATAAAATCTAACATTTTCCCTGAATAAAGGAAAATATTTTTGGTGGTTGTGGTTTGTGGTTTTTCTTAGAACCTTACTATTTACCCAAGAGTACAAGGAAAAAAAAAAGGCAGCAAAACCAAAACAACAAACACTAAATCACCACAGGAGGGTTTTTGGGGTTTTTTTTTGGGTAAACACATAATTCTTTGTGACTAAGTATAAAAATATTGCTTAGGCTATTGGCCAGGTGTGTCAGGAATAAAGATTTTCTCAGGGTAACAGCTAATGCTGTTAATACAGCAATAAAAAGTTGTTGTTTTCTCCAGGAACTGAGCCAGCAGAACAAAGTTATGCCCAGAGTCACAAGCACATCCTGTCTATTTTGTCCACTATACGCTTTCAACCTCCAACCTCTCAGTGCTCTCTTCACACTCATTTGAAATTATTGTGTGAAACCAAAGAAACTACATACACATACATTTTCACCCTTTGCTTTACAGTCTTCTGCCAGTTTATAATAACATGGCATTTCTCTGCGATACTGGATGACATGGAAGACAGAAGGGCAATTTAGTAAAACAAACAGTCCAGCAGTTGATCTGCAGCAGCTGTTAAACTCCTTAGCCAGGAAGAGCCTCAGTGAGTTATTGAACACTGCAGGTGCAAGTCACTGCTCCCATCTACAATGCAGACCTGTCAAGGTGAGACACAAGTCTTGCTCAGTCAAAGCTCCTCATGACCTCCTTATGGGATCCCAAACAGAAAACTGAGCTCTTAAGACTGGAAGAAAAAACGTTGATGAACAGTTTGGGACCCCCAAGCTCTTATGGGCACGAAGAGAAGAATGGCACCTACCGTGGTGAGGGTATTGGGCATTAGTCTCATCTGCTAAATCAAACACTACTAATCCTGGGCCCAGCTGTGTCTCTGATCACAGGCAGAGCACCCCGAACAGTGGGAGCTTCTAGCAGCAATGAATGGCTTCACAGCACCTGCTCTGAAAGGAAGCAGACAGTGTAAAAGCTCTTGTCCATTTTGAAATTCTGAAGACAAGAGGGTATTCTTTCCTGAGATACTGACTACATTGTTTATACTAGAATGGTTTTGCTCGAGGTCTTTTTTCTGTTTTTTTTTTTTTCTTGTTTTTTTTGGTTGTTTTTTTTAAGCAGTATAGCTAGATAACTGTTCTTAACAAATTTCACCCACCTATCTAGGAACTTAATTTTTAAAGTAAATTTCTAAAGAAGATGGATACTTTTGTACAGCTGTAGTAAAACTCAGCTTTCTCAGGAGGTAGTTTAGGACTTTTTTCTTTAATGGGTTATTAAGACTGTTAACATTCCAAGTACTATTAGTCTATATTATGTGGTAAATTAAGGAGACTTCTATTAAACCCAAGGCTTGCTTTATTTCTTTCAATTCTCTAAGGTAAACTCAAATACCAAGAAATAGAAGGCACTTATACCACACTGCTTCAGTGAAGCAAGAAAAGGGGGAGGAGGGAAGCAGCTTTCAAACTTTATTTCTAGTCTTCTGTGTATTTCTTCAACTTAGTCAACTCTGCAGAGGGAATACCCTTTTATTTTTCTTCCCACCACTGACAGCTACAATGAGTCATAGCTCATGCCTACTCCAAGCAAGCACTTTTGTCTCTTGCCTACCACCATTTTCAGAGATTTCTTCCATGCTACTTCAGCCTACCTATTGCCCACATAAAAAGGCAGAAGCTAGTTACTGTGGGTAATAATTTTAATACTGAGCAGAAATAGAGATTCAAATGCTTGGACAGACAGAACTCTCTTGTTATAGTCTGTCAACTAGCCATTCCCATGTCATCATAAATTTCCAATAAGCAAATACACAAATGATTGTGTTTACCTATCAGGGTCCAGACAAAAAAGCTGTAGTACATATTACACAAAGAGACTGCTAAACTGAGAGTGAAAAAAAGTACATTATACACAATTGTGTTTACCTATCAGGGTCCAGACAAAAAAGCTGTAGTACATATTACACAAAGAGACTGATAAACTTTGAGAGTTAAAAAAAGTACATAGCAACTTGTATGTTGAAGAGATACTCTAACTCTTCTGATGAATTTGAGTATCTCTTCAGCCACTAAGGTATTAGGATGTTCTCCATGTGAGTTACACAGGGACAATTTTTGCCAGAGGAAAAACCCAGATACCTTCAGATATCAAGATGTTTATCCCTCCAGTAGAAATACCTTATCTTAATTATAATAATTACTCCAAGGAAACTTTCCTTACCTCTTGTTTACAGTAGTGACCATCCAGCCAAGGTGTCATTCTTTGGTCATCTAAATGACTATCACTGAATGTGAAACTCATGGAAGCTAGTCACTCTCGCAGTTTAACTACACATCCATCACTCTTTTGAGATATCTGTCATTGTTCAACTAAAGAATGATGTCCCATTACAAGCTTAAAAGATTCTTTAGTACAGCAAGACAATAGTAAATGTCAGCTCAGCTCTGAACCTCTCACGTGGGTTACAAAGCCATGATTTTTTTTTTACACTGAGAATCAAGATCAGTATGAAAGCTCTTACTCTGATGACTGAAAATTAAAAGCAAAGAGGTAGTCATCTTCCGATATTCTACTAGATGTGTGTCTTTCCCACATCCTAATTTCAAAGGGAAACATATCTTTCTCCATGTATCAGACATAAGATTTTTTTTTCACTTTGCACCCTTTCTTTTTCAAGTAAATTCTCTATTTATATCTTATCCTCTTGGAAGAGGTAGTGAGCAGCACAGCTGAGCGTGGCAAGGAGTTTACCCAGGAAACTAAAGAAAATCAATCTCTGTACAGATATGGTTTCCATATATTTATAAACCATCCACCCAAAAGGAGCGAGTTTATACATCACACAAGTGAAGCCCATTACTGTCACAGAGTGTACACAAGGGAATTCTCATGCTGGAAAAAAGAACATCTTTGCTTCCCACAACTTATCATCAAGAGCTTAGCAAAGTGTTGAAATGAGCTCTCTTGGGTCCTGTTGTACCACAGAACTAAAATACATTAAGATTTTTGGTTTGCCACATTGGGGCTTCTAGATCAGTACCAGGCTCTACCGGAAATATTTGGAATTATTTGCAATGAGATCACTTTGCTGCTTTGTTATGTGTGCTTTGAATCTCATGTTATCTCTTTCAATCTGTTCCAGAATTTAGCTTAGCAAATAGCAACCAGGGTTGGAAAGTTTTAAAAGCCAACATTAGAAATCAAGGTGCACAAATTGGTCTGGAAACAGAGAATGCCATTCATCCAAGACAATTGTAAACCAAAGGAGTATATGGGATGGAGTATGTCTCAGTGCAGCACCGCTCTGGAAAGGGATCTGAGGATTACAGCATGCCATGAGTATAAAACTCATTCTGTTCTTGAAAAAAGAATGCCTTCAACTTGACTTGAAAACAGAAACAGAGCCTGAAAACCAAAAAAACTATCCTTTTGCTCAGGACTGAGAAGGCTCCTTGGCTACCGTCTTTCAAGAAGGTGAAGACAGTTTGTATGAAAGGCAAAAAATACCTAGCAAGCCACAAAAGCCTTCCCTCCAAGGAAAGTCTACAGGATTTATTGCTGCCCAATATAAGGAAGGGAAGGCTGAATGGTAACATCTTCCAGGTAGATTACGTACTGCTGCAAAGAACAAGAAAATAAATGATTTTCCAAAGTCTGTCGCCAATGAACAGCAATAGCTATGCTCAAAATGAACCTCTCTTGCTGTCAAATTCAGGACAATCTTTCCAGCAGTAGGGAGCGAAAAACGCTGAAAAGGTTGTGTGGGTTCATTGGCAGAACCACCACTGGAGGGTTTTTTGACAAGAGGCCTGACAAATAAACATCATTAGAGGAGACTGAGGCATAGCTGATCTGCCTCAGGGACAGAAACATGGACTAGGAAATTTTTCAAGGTCTTTTTAAGGTTACCACCTTCTAAATACAAAACACATGGAGATATAATGAGCATAAACAGCTGCAATGCAGCAATTAATTTGTTAAGGCTGGTACCAGACCAACACCATCCCTAGTTTTCAGCAAGCTGTTCAAAATCCAGGCGAGAGTCTACATTGTTAAAACTCCTGCCACTGGTCTCAGTTCCCTTGGGCTAGCTCACGTCCTACTTCAACCATGGCTGTTGGATGCTCAGGGCAGACAGATGTTAAAAATTATTTGCACTGGGAGTCACCTAGGTCTGCATTTTCTTATCTTGGACAAGCTTGTATGTAAGATAATAAGATCATTAATAGCCATAAGATAGTAAGATCATTAATAGTCGTAAGATCATTAATAATCATAAGATAATAAACCCCTCCAGGAATGCTGAATGTATAAATCAGGCATATCACACAAACCATTACAAGCACCTCACAGAACTAAGCCAGACTGTTCTGTTTTTCTAAAGGAATCTTACAAACCTGAGGAATGCGAAGAAACAAGCACTCTGGGAGCTCAACAAATGAACAGGAAAGAGCTTTCAAACTGTAAGTAGCACTGACAGATTTCTTTGCTATTGATGCAGATCCCCGGTGTACAGTCTGCAGCCACTTTGAAAAGAAGTAACAATTATTAATTGATCACGGAGTGCCAACCATTTACTAGGTGTTTCTTGTTTTTCATTTAGCAGCATACATTAATTTGGAAACAATCTGAAACAATGAGCTATTCAGGACAGCAGAGGACATGAGTGTTTCAGAAACTGTTCACAGCCTCAAGAGAGAAAGCCTGTCTGGCTGGTTTGTTTTGATTCAGAAGAGGGCTGTACACTACTGAATTTCCTACTTTTGGGAAAAATTAAGGAATCAGCACAACTTTTGGATCATGGGATCTCCCCCTCTCAGGTCAGTATGGTTTTCTGTTTCATGTGGTACTGTGGTACTCAATGCAACAGAAGTAGCTGACTCTGCAAGTTATTGAACACAAAGGGCAGACAGGATCTGTGCCTATTAGCCAGTGGTTTCTGGCCACAGTGTTCAGCAAAACAGTCAGCAAAGTGAAAGAAATGGTACAGCCAATCCCACCAGGTCTTTCTACCTCTGACTCCTTTGCATGAAAGTGAAGCATTGATTACAGAAGACAGAACATGCTTTTCCAGGTACTCCACATAAAGGGTGAAAGAGAACACAAGTTTAGCACATGAACAAACCTCTTAAAAATTTACAAAATATCTCTGTTGAAGATTTCTGAGAGTCAAGATCCAGTATCTCCAATGGAGCAATGTGTTGATTCAGATGGTAAAAGAACAGCAACAGCAAAGCACATGAACAAAACAGCCATCTGGTGCTACCCAAATTCTGTTTTCATTCAGGAGCAACAAGTCCACCTCATGTTACAGCCATCTTTTGTCTTAGACACAAGAGAGACAAAAAATACTACGTGAGGAACCCAGGACTGTGTCCTGGTGGCTCTGCAAGAACAAGGGATAGGACTTCTTATTTCTTTATAAAAAACTCAGGATTTCTAATACAAAAAGCTATAAAATGCTCATACTTAAAAAAAAAACAAAAACAAAAAACTCCCCAAAAAATCCCCAAGGAAAACAAAACAAAAAAAACAAAACAAAAAAAAAACCAAAAACAAACAAACCAACCAATACTTCTAGGAAAAAGCAGAAAAAATGTAAAGCTGGAATTTTGTGGCTGGAAATATAAGGGTCTGAGTCTTTCCTAAACTACACATTTGCTTGAGTCAGTTTGTAAGTGTAGGCTTTCATCTGGATTGAAATTTATGGCTTGCTCAAAGCCTTCCTACTTAACACTAATGTTCAAAGGTGATAGTTTGCACAGATTCATCCCTGATACTGCTGGTTGTTCATGGCATTTATCTGATGGTCCACATTTAATCTTTATCACTCTTTTTATTGAAGAAATCAATTCTCATTAATATTTTTAATGGCTTTTAGTGGATGTTAATGAAGTG